AAAAACACCTGCTGTTTTCCCTTCAGGGTATTTCATCGAGTGCCAATGACAGCCAGATTGAGGCACTGGAGAGCCACATTGAGGCACTGCGAGGCGAGTTATCTAGTACTCAAGCTCACATTGAACTTCTGCAATCAGAAATAGACAGACAGGAGAATGACTTGAAGAAGAAGGATACGGAGATATGTACAGTCTCTGCCAGGGTAAATAGAAACCGACATTTTACTGCTTGTGGTTCCAAATTACTGGACAGGTGTGTTGTTGCCACAGCATGTGCCATGGCCAGTAGGCACTTTTTCTAGGGTTTTTAATTCTAAAATAAATCAACCAAAGATGGTATGCACTTCATTTAGTTTTTAGAAAAAGCAATTGTAAAAATGTCTCCATTCTTTTTTTTTCTGGCGGGGGGGATAACAAAAACGTTAGATAGTTTTATCAGGAATTTGGAAGTCACTGTAGCATCTTGTACATTTTAATTTGTGACATTCTGTAACATTACCAATCTTGATACTGATAAGAAACTTTCTTCTGTGTAAAAAGTGTACCTTTCCAGTTGTTTTGTTGGGCTCAAACAGGAAAGTGCACTTTGTGGTTGATTGTTTTCAAGAGTTGCAAGGTTCGTCAGTAACTTGTAAATCTATACATGTATGTCTACGTAACTTCTGTCTTCCAATCTTCCCTATCTTCCGTTTAAGACAAGGTACAAGCTGACCCAGATTCTTTATTCAGAGGTCAGTACAAAACACCACTTCATTGTCTAGCTCACTCCTCGGTGGTTTCCTGTTTTATTTCGTCAGCATCCATTTGCTTCTCGACCCCTCCACAAATCACCTGCTGTTCTCTACTAATTACTGATGATGCGGTTGGGGTGAACTAATTTTTTGTATTATGTTAGTTTTTTTTATCCATGCCTTCAGCTCTTGTTTGAAGACATTCTGCATGTACTGTAGTTGTTCTGTAATATCGCTGCTTAATTTGTTGGAATGAGGGCAAACATTATGTGTTATAGTGAAGACTAACATTAAATAAGCTGTCTAGTTTTTTCAAAAGCCAAAGTGAACTTGAAACCGTTACATCTGTAACAAATATTTGGAAAAGTTTTGGGCAGTTTTACTCATTGTTAACCAATTGTGGAGGAATTATGCATGGTGTTTACGTTCGGAGGGTTTCTTTCTTTTTTTTTTAATGTGGTCTGTGGCAGTTTGTCCTTTTTTTATTGAGTTGTGAAAATGGCAGACAGAATTGAAGGGTGTGATGGGATCATCCGTCTTTCCAGGATATTACCTGCATTCATGAGTCTGTTCCTTCACGCCATGGGGTTTTGGGTCATATTCCATTTACTCTACCATTAAACATACATGGACGTGTGCTTTGCTTTCGGCGTCGTAATCATTCCTTAGCATAACTGTGCCACCCTCCCCTGCTTTCTTATTATTGCCTGTTCCTAATGGAGGCATTATGTTAATATGTTCAGTCTGTTGGGACCGTCAGCAATCTCGAGCTACAATTTGACGCCTTACCTTGGGTTTTTTTGTTGATTAATTTGCATTGCAGCCACAAATGATGACATCATAGTCAATTCTGACTATCGTGGTTTTGCAACCCGGAGGTTACATGTACATGGACCTGAATTTTCCAAAATCCAAAGCACTGGCGTGTATTTCTACTTGGCCAGGTCTAGTACATGTAATTGACAATTGCAACAGGCACGTAAAGATTGGTCATGTCTGAATGACTTGGGCTGTGGCTTGGAATCACACACAACTCGATGGGTAGTGGCTGCAGCCGCAGCCATAGAGCTGTTTTCATAATTTCAAGCCACAGCTGAGTCGTTCGGACAGAGCTTAAAAGTGGCTTTATTGGACTCTACAGTCCTGATTCCATGACAATCAAACAAAAGCTGTCATTGGATTTTGGGAGTGGTACATGTTGGAAACTCAGGCTTGACCGTGGACACCTGCCCATGATCCATTCTTACTGAAATGAATGAAAGCATAGTTTCCATAGTAATTGTTTCAGTATGTGTCCATTTCTTGTATTCTTGTACAATTATTTGCAGTCATTATTTGAATATTTCTGGTGGTGGGAGCATATATTGGCATTTTTGTTATTTCTCTCGTGGTTTGATGGTGGGAACTTCCAAAATCATTATTTTTCTTTTATGTATGAAGCAGCGCAACCACAAAAACCCCCCTATAAAGGGTGGAAAGTGTGCATGAGATGCCACATGTGGATAAACTGTCAGCAGGAAGCCTGTTTCAGACCTGACATCAGCTATCGAAATTTAAGCAAATGTTCGCCATGTCACCAACTTTAATCCTTATCATTTCCAAACCCCTCAAATTCAATGGGGAAAATGTGAGCGTTGAGTTCTGGCTGCAAAAAGTAGAAACCTGGTGTCACCAGTACATGTATGTCTACGTGTACATTAACCGTCCGTGATGCGCCTAGATACATGTACTGTCACACTGTTACTATGCAATACGCCAGAACAGATGAAAGCTCTGCTTAAGTAATGAAAGCTCCTGAAGGGTAAATCATCACAGTTACTGCATCTGTCTAAGACCTGGGATTAAAATTAAGATTGATGCAGAGTTCAGTATCGGGGAACTTTCATTACACAGTGCAGAACTCTGGATCAATGCTGCCCACAGATAACGGCATTGAGATTAATATCTGGAATGCAGGCAGGCATGAATCATGTGGGTGTGTCATCGTTAGTCTTGAGAACCGTCACACCTCCTTGTCCCTGTTTCAGTTTCACCTTGATTGCATTTTAGGGGTTACATCGGCTTGCCTGCCGCTGAGTTTATTTTCAACCAATTTCCCACATTGACATTTCATAGCATTGCTTGACTCATTGAACAAAACCTTTTCCAAGGGCATTTGTGTAATTGACTGTTTAAAGAGGCGTGTGTCTCTATTTATACAGGTCACTTAAAGAGGAGTAAAGTTGTTGTAAAATGGTTTTTGAAACTTGTAACTGAAGTGAACAGGTCATTCAGTCCTTAAAAAGGTCATGGCATCATGAAAGGCTGTGTGAAGGCTTGAAATGAAGTCTAATCTAATCTGTTTCCACGGCAACAGGTTCGAAACCTCGAGCATGAGTTAGAGTTGGCATGGGCCCCAGCAGCAGGGTTTACAGCGTCCTGTGATGAGACCGATCTCAGTAGCTTGTCCAGTGAGGATGACAAGGTGGGTGGAGCCGTGTACGTGTACATGTATGTTCCAACGATACAGAGATTGGTTGGAATGGTGAAAATTGATGACTGGGGGGTTGCATGGAGATCTTCCATTTTGGGATGGAGCCTGGACTTTAGTCAGTATTATGAAAATCAAGTACCTGACAGTCGTATTTGAGTTGAAAATGACGTCCAGTGTGTTTTGTGCACTTGTATATATTCATGACATTGGCACGGTGAATTTATGTATTTCAGTGGCCCACATGGTGTTCAAAAGACTTCCAAACATCTCTCTGGCTGAAAACTTCAATGGAATTCATCCCACACCCTTTCAGAACATGCCTTCTGTTATTTAAGTGCGTGTGTGGGGGGGGGGGGTTTATTTCAAAATTAACACTATGCCCTCTCCCCAAAGCTCTCTTTATTAAGTCCGTCAATGGAATGATTGTGACGTACACATGTTTACACTTTGTGGTTGGCAACCTTAAACATCAACATTACCTCTTTGAAGTTTGCATCAGTAACTTTGCATCAGAGCAAATCCACCAAACTGTTCCTTTTCACTCGCGCAGAACGCAGTCTTTTTTCATCACTCAATCATCACAAAGACTAGTAATGTCACATTTTTTTGGTGAGTATTGTCCACATAGATGCCCAACAGTAGACTGAAAACGCTGAACTCCGCGAATGTCTTGGGTAACGTACAGAATGTGCACAAAATCATTGACACACCCATCATGTTTCATACACATATACATGTGCTTTTTCAAACTTACTTGTGCGTGTATCTAGCTTTTCATGATTCGGAATACTTGTTCGTTGGATAACACCCAAAGCTGTTACTGTTCTTCCTCGGCATTTGAAAGCTCCCTCCTCATATTTCTTTTTTAGCTTGAGGAGAGGGGAAACTTATCTTTGCCTGTTCCACAGAGAAAGCCATCTGTACACTCTCTAGACCTGTCATCCAATGTTAGTCAAGAAGAAGTCATCGATCGACTGCAGAGTGAACGAGATGAAGCCATTCTCAGGTCCGAAAGAAAAGTACACTCCAGCAAGCTTTGATGATTCAGCTTTTGCCCTAGACTTATGAAAGACATGGGAAGTTTGTGTGTTCACACATGTTACCGCTGAATACCTAGTGTTGACAGTCCTCAGTGCTTTGTTGTTAAAAATACTCACTATTCTTGCACTGTGGACACCACTGTCAGCTGGATTTTGTTAATGGCATCCTTGACTGTTCCTTTCTCTTTTGGTACAAACAAAATAACCTCAAGATTCCTCTAAACCAGTTTTTCAGAGGTAGGAAAAGATTGGGATCGAGCAAGTTTAGACAATGTCCTCACTATCTGTGTTGTGTGGACATATCTTGTTCATAGGTCTACACGGGGAATATCATGGTCACACTTGAACAACAAAATGCTCTCGGGGAGTTTGGTTGGTGTTGTGGCTCTTTCCTCACCTCCCACCTCCGCGACCTGAGTTTGAATCCCACCTAGGTCGGCATGTGAATTGTGTTTTTAGTCCCTGCCTGGTTTCGTGGGTTCTCCCATTTATCCGGGTTTCCCCCCCCCATCTCTAAAACTGAACGTTTTCTCATTGTCTTCTTAACTGTCACTTCATTCTGTAATTGGCACCAAATGTGCCGTTGGATGAACGTATGCGAAAGGAAAATAACTGAAAAAAAAATCATGTGGTACATTGCATTGGGAGAAGATGGTACACTGTAGTAATTGTTTTGTTTGTTGGATGTTCCTTTGTCTCTGAAGGCAAACAGCTGCAGAGCAGGCCTTGTTTCAGGCCAAAGCAGATATGAACAAGTTGGATGACCAGTTGATTGGAGCTATTAAGCAGAAAGTGAGTTTGTCTGAACAGCTGGACCAGTGGCAGGTAAAGACTGAGACACTGACGTTCCATTGTCTGTCACCTTTTTGATAGAATCATTCAGCTAATTGATCATATACATGTAATAACTGTCCACAAACTGAGGTCGATGGAGCAAGCCGAGTGTGACCCTAGCAATTCCCAAGGTTGATTTTGTAACTTTGGGTCACATCTGGAACAGGTTCATATCTTGGTAAAGGTTAGAATTGGCGTGTCGGTCCTCCTAAGTCCTTGTGAGTCCCCAGATGTTCACGATGCAGGTCCTCACAAGTCCTTGACACGTCAGTTACAAATTGTGTGGTCCAAGTTCCAATCTTATAAACAATTCAAATCAGATGTGGAAAGGGCACTCCATAGTCATTGTTCGTCCTTATTCTGAGCGGACTTCAAAATTGATCTGTGACGGACTTGACTACACTTGTGAGAAAGCATGTTCTTAATGGGCTGACAAGATGTTATTGACGTCAAGCTTTGATCATCAAATGAATCAGTCCTAATGCTGATCGTGAGTCTGAGTAAAATGTGAGCAATCAGTCCAATGAAAACGAGCAAACTCACGTCAGAAACAGTGGCAAATACTTTCTGATCGCTCCATTCCCTCACATAGAACAGAAAATACTTAAACTTAACTTTTATTCAACTTTGTACGGCAAGCTTTTCTCTGAATGTGCTAGTTACTTTCATCTGAATGTGCACAATAAGTTTCATCTTAATGTGAAGACTAATTTTCATCTAGATGTTTCACATTAAACTTTGTCTGAATGTGCACAATTTTCATCTGAATGTGCTCGGTATTTTTCCGCTGAATAAGCTCAGACCTGTGCATATTTTGACAAAGATGTGCTAGGCAGTAATGGCATTTCAGTTGAGATGATACTCTTGCATACACGTAGAGGCCAGCAGTTTGATAAAATTGATTTCTCTACCCGTTTCAGAATGATATCCATCAGCTCCTTGACCAGCGTCTCAAGAAGCAGCTGACGAGGCAAGAAGTCAAGAAACCAGACACCAAGAAACGCAAGGCTTCTCCTCAGAAGAGATTCCCTTTCTGGAGTTGAGATTTACCAAACAATTGTTACAGTCCTACTGTAGGGGGGTCTCAGGCCCGTCAAGAATTAAATTGGCGTCGCCGCCATGAAAATCGTTTCAGCTGCATAAACAGGAAACGGTCATAATAATGTCATACAATTGTAATGTTTTTTTTTAACTTTTGGGAATCTGTGCAGGGTTGAGATGCAAGATTTGGTGCTGATGCTATTTCTCTTACAAGGGAAATTTCAAGTTCTGTTGAAGATTTTTTTTCATCATTTTCCATTTGAGGAATCCCGTCTTACAGGTATAGCGGTTTTGTTTCTCATTCAACATTTAAACTGAGAATCTGTCTTTTTATTATGCCGATACCGAACTAAGAAGTACAGGAAAAGGGTTTTAAAAACGAAAATATGCAAACTTGAGTCCAAAATGTATGTACTTTTTTTACAAAATGACCTAGACATTGTCAATATTTATATGAAGCTGAATGTTTTTATCAGTTCCATTTATCGGCATTAAGACAGTGCTTCCAATCTCGTAAATGCTAACCAAAAACATTAGTGAACTGAATCAGGAATTATAAAAATGGACATTCCCTTAAATCTGGAAGGACTCAGTGAATGCTTTTTCCAGGCTTTTTGTGCTCAGATGTAGTGTATTGTTGAGAGGTTGTAGTCATTTTCAGAATGGATTATGTATTGGTTCACGTAAGGTTACGTCAGCCAGTGAAAAAGTCTCTTCAGTGGGTCAGTGAGGGTTACTTGTGTTTCTGCAGGTTGGATGGTTGGTGTGCCGTGATTCCACGAACACTGGCAAGAAAAACTGATACAACTCCATTCTTTGCTGAGGTTTTCCAAAATGGCTGACTCAAAAAATCATGCTTTAGTCATGGTTGAAAAATATCCTATCCAACACAAATCCCAATTTTTCCATGTAACACTAGAAACATACAACTTGGAAGTTAAATTTCTGAGAATATAAGACTACACATTGTGTGCCCATTTTGATGAGAACGGCTCTCTCGATGGTCCTGCCATTTGGGGGGGCTCTAGCCAGTGCTGTGCTATCGTTCACATGGGCAGAATCGAGACATGTCAATGCTGATTGCCATGCACACATTGTACAGGTTCGTTCGTGAACCATGTACGTTCTCCAGAATAGGAAGTGTACCTCGGGATTTCTGGATACTATTGCTGGTCCGTCATGAACAGTGTGTGAGGTCATTGTATAAAGTCTTTAATCTCAGGACCACCATACATCACCTTTGCACTACGAATTCTAAAAGGGGAGGGGTATTGCATAGTGTGTGGCTTGTGTTCAGATGTTATTTTTTGAAGTTGAATTATGTTAGTCAGACGTAATACTTGTGAATTTTGTGCAAGCACACGCAGCAGAATAGATATGTAAACCCAAGTAGATGCTGTCATTGGTGGAGTGAGTGGTACATTGTGTCGTAGCTGTTGGAGTTGACTTTTGTGCAGATTGCATGAAAGTGCTTTGCGTAAATTTTCTGAGCAGGGAAGAATCTGGCTGAACCAGATGAGTTAACTGGCCCAAGAAGGAACAGAGACTGTCGAGGGTGTGCTTACACCAGATCTTGCCTGCCAATGGCCAGGAGTTCACATCACCCATTTTTGACTGAATGTACTCAAATCCGGGAGCCAGTATCACTGAACTGCCAGGCAGGAAACATTGCTCAGCGAGTTTTTGAACGGTTAACAACTATCAACTGGACATATCAACCAAACTGCTTTTTCGTGCGCTAAGCAAATTCAAGTGCTCACCACCCCATGAAATGTGGCCCTGGTGCTTGAGATCTTTGGGTGAGGACATTTGTACAGCAGCAATGACACTTGAGTTTCCTTAATAAGGTTTTCAGCATTTCCTTGCTAATAGCAAGGTGTATTAGCTGGGTAAGCTTTTGTTCATGAACATTGGCCTGGTCTTTCAACTTCCGTATATGAAGTGGAAATGTAGAATTTGTGCAATGAATAGTGAGTAGTTAAAGGCTGGTTTGTACTTTATGCCAAAGCAAAGCAAATTCGACCTCAAGAAAAGTTTGCAATGATATTTGCTCTAGTTGAAATACATTCAACATATGCAAATTCACAGTGCAAATATTTAACTAAAAGTCACTAATTCGCAGCAAGTATGAACTGGCCTGTTGGTACGTGTTGGAGAAAATTCTTCAATATCAATGTGTTGAAGTGAACAGCTTGAACACTGGAGTGATATTATTGAAATTTTGACTGAAATATGTTATATCATTTCGGTGATCCATAATTTTCAATCAAGTATATTTTATAAAAGGAAAATCTCAATATAATTTCTGTTTTGGGGTTTTTAATATTTTTCACATTCATCACAATTTATGTATATATATGTGGAAAATGATTACATGTATATGATTGACAATTTAAACTGTACATAGAATTTTTCCTGTGGGTATAAATGTTGATAGTAGCATATGTCTGAAAATGTGCAATACTAGTATCAAACAATGCAGTCACTGTAAGTTCCACTGAAATGCATTTGCTTTGAGATCCACATATTGATTTGCTTAAAAAGCACTATTTCAAGAATTTGTTTTTGCAAGTAAACAGTAGTCACAAAAAAGTTGACAAGACAATTTGACAGCAGCTTTGTAAAACTTAAAACACAGCTGAAACTGGAAAAGAAAGCCTTCGAGGAGCGAGCTACCGAGTTCCATTATTTCTCCTTCCAGTGCCCATCAAACATTAAGTGCACTGATCACACAGATTCTCATCACTAAGATTAAGGATCAAGTGGAACTTATTGGTTGTTGGGCAGAAATCCCCTTTTTTGCACAAACAAAATTTATTTCAAAGTGGGTACACTTGCAATAGATATCACAAGCTCGTTTCCATTGATTTTTCTTCGTAGTTTTGTGTTCAGTAACTGTAGAAATTGTTGTAGAAAGGATACATGTGTGGACCTGTGCTTTAAGAAGTGCAAGGAATATGTCACTTTGTCATATCTGCATGGCTTGCCGGTACAGTATGGTGGCTGTGTCGAGTAAACATGACATTTTGGAATTATTTATTAAACTTCATGAAAATTGGAATAAATACTGTAGCTCGGATGTTTATTATATTGCACTGCTTAAATACATGTACATGTATTTGTGTATGAATATTAGAGACCATTCATTGATTGCGGTTAAAAACTTTGTTGGGAAAACAGCTTCCAGAATTTTCAGCCTTCTCTGTGAGTGGCTGCTCTTGACAGGGAAAGAAGGATATCTCTGTGGAGGAAAAAATTTCTTGGACAAATTTTATTTCACCAATAAACTATCAATATTAAATATATATACTGAGAATATCATTTTCAGTTGCTCAAGGTATTTTTTTAAAACATGACTCATACGCAAATAACTTAGTCAATAATTGCTGTTACGTTGTTCAAGCATAATGAAAAGAATGCTTTAAAAACTATTTGGCAATCATTTTTTTCAATTACGCGAGCAAGGTCTGAGACAAAAATACCTGCTTTCTACACAATTGATGAAATTTTTGACATTTTATGCACGCTTTGAGTACAATGTGCTTCATGTTTGCCATACACAGATTAACACCAAGGACAAGTCCAGTTGATGTTTAACACCCCCCCCAAAAAAAACAGAAAATTGAAATAAGTTTTAAAAAGGTTTTACTTAAACTCTGGGCCTTGCAATTTACAGTTCTTGATGGAATCGATGATGATTTGATGATTATTGTGTGATAGTTACATCTTAACCCTAACCCTCCTCAATCCTTCACTTGTTGGAGGACTGAGGAGGGTTAGGGTTAAACCTTAGACATTCCACACATTAAAAAAAAAAAAAGGAAAGTGGTTGAAAGCCATGTACAATATTGCCACTACAATCGGGGCTATAGGAATGAATGAATGAAAACGAAAGAACTTGCTAGGGTATGATATTAAATAGATCAATTTGGAGATTGATAGTTCACAGACACCATGTATATAATTTCTGGAATAAAAATAGTTCACCTCTGCACCACTTGGAAATATACTACAAAGCTATATAAATGCTATAGATTCCACATGTAACTACACCCTGCTTCAAGTCATGATTGTTCCCAGGTGAACAGTACCAAACTTGCACAGAGTTCTATATACGGACATTACTCATTTTTCCCTGCAGGGGTATATCAGCCATCACAATGCAATAACGTCCTAAAAGTTCAAATTTAACAGGGCTGATATTGAATAATTTGCTGAGAAAATATTCAGAATTTTTCAAACCAGTCTCATGGGGTTTGTGCAGAGGGTGTCAAGTGATGTCCGGACACGGAACTGAATTTGTAACCTCCACAGATGAAAGAAATGGCTCTTGTTTGCCGTTCAAAGGAACAAAATCTAACCTAAAATGCTCACTGCTAAGTTACGTCAGATACAATGCTAGGGGTATGTTGGCACAGAGATATGCCACAACGTGAATCTTTCTTTGAGGATTTGGGAGATGGAAATCTTCTATTACAAGTGAGTTGTCACGGCCCGCCGTATCTAGACTTGCTAGCTCAAATGTGCTTATGTTTCAGAGAAAGCTTCACCTATAATAAGCACATGTGACTACAGACTTGACAGAACAAAAATTTGAGCTGAGCACACAGACAAATCCTTCCTAGAAACTATAAACTCTGTCTTTTGAAAAAAGCACCTTCAAATTGTTGGTCATACATTAACTTCTTTTTTTTTGAAACAGGCAAAAAATCTTGCAGAACTCTCAACTGGCGGTGTAAATTGTACTGAACAATTTGGCAGAAGGCAGTGTTTGTTTTATATTGATACAATTTTGAATTTTAAAAATAACATTCTGAATTGAAGTTGGCATATTTTTCTGAGCTGGTTGGTCCAAGTTCAACAAGGAGGACTGAAGCTGTATGGGGTTTGTGCACAGAGAGCTTCTTATCCATTGAAAAGCTCACAGAGAGAAAACTGTGAGCTACATTGTATCTCAGGAAAAACTTCGCAGCTTGGGCCACCTGCAAAATTGTCAGCATCTTCTCGAAAAATTAAAATGTGAAATTTTGTTCATATTTCACCAATTTTATTTCCCCCATTAAGAAAAGTTACCCTCTGGAGTTTAGCCACCCCAAGACCCAGATATATTGCATGTAACTACAAATCGTTTTCAAGAGGAAAAGTCCATTACCCCTTAAAAGGTGTCATAGCCCTCCTTGGCTACATTGACTGAAGCAAATTCTAATCGATGCTGATTAAGATCAGGCTTGGCCCAGCCTAAATGCAACAAGATACAAGTTGAGCAATTGGTGTTAAGCATTGTGACTTAAGATATATTTCTTGGATGAGTTTTGGATGTGATTCTTCAGAGAAGCTCTCCCTAAAACACACACAGCTGAAGTAGAAAACAAATACCATATGAATAAATTTTTGCTTGCATTCTCTATAACCTAGAACCGTACCCTCGTATTCTTTGCACAAATTTACTTAAATTACATCCAGCAACAACCCTGCATAAGGAACACAAAACTAGACTTCAGAAGACGAGTAAAATGATTGGTGAAGACGGACAGAGTACACTTGAGTTATTCCCCGGTTCTTCTCAGAACCACACCTACTCAAGAGATTGATACATGGTGCAACGGCAAGCAGTTTACTCGTCTAGTTTCTTTCACCATGAAAACCTTCAAATCTTATCTATTAAACATGAGTAAAAGAATACCATCCAATCAGAATACAGCATCCGTGACTAGATAGGTACCACATGACATCAAGATAAAACACACATTTAAATCTTTGGCTTGTAAGCAGTATGTGAAGGCAACACACACATTAGACATAATGCTTGACACCTGTCCAGATGGAAAAGGGATACATTTATGAAAATCCTTGCTTTGTTTGTATTCATCATATCTAAGAGCACTAGTGATCTCTGAGTCATTCACGGAATTGTTTGAAATGAAAACAAACCATTGTGGGTAGTGTCCGGCCATGACTGTGCATGTGTCAACTAGGGGCTTAATCATGGAAATAAAATCTCTCCAATTACAGCTCAAAGGATTTAGCGATCGCCAGTGCTCCAAAATGGCAAAGAAAATTTAAATTGAAACTATATATCCTAAGAGATTTGAAGCGATGGATTTGGAAATTATTTGCAACAGTGTGTTTCCAATTTGAAAGACGACACAGAATAAGATGCATGCATTATATCTTTAGAACCAGTGTTCCTGGACGGGGGAAAATAATGACGGACATTGCCGTGAACAAGAGTAACTCACAATGATTGATAGTGCAGAAAAGCAGCTCATGCCAGGCTCTACCTCATCTACTCTGCACTGCATGGGAAAGCCGACATCTGTTTGTGTCGGTGTGGTAGTCGAGTACATTTTCACGAGCACCTCTACTCGCATGTGCATATATGGTGAGAGCAAAGGTACATGTAGGTGCCTGGGTACTGTACTTCCCAATCATGCTCATGAATACAAGTACACAGACATTTTGCTTACGAATACATTTCATGAGAATGAGTAGTTTCCTGAGTACATTTTCACGAATGCACTCAAGTGTGAGTACAAGCGTGAGAATGAGTAATGGTTCATGTGTATTTCCAAATCAAAGCATTCATTTTGCACCACCTAAAACTGCCTAGGCAGTCAATTTTACTTCTGCAGTTTTTGAGCGTGGGTAACTTGGGGTCAGATTCTTTGGACAATAACGATGTTAACTGTCAATGTGACCAATGAAAGACAGGCAATGGATTCCGGGACAATTGGTGGAAGATGTCAACAAGAGAGGCTAAAATTGGCTCCCAGCTCTGAGGTGAACACTCGGTGGCACCATGTACTATCTGGTAAGTGTGAATTATTTCTATTTTTGCTGACTTACCGGCTCCACCCACAAACAGTGCTCTCTTTTGGCCAAAAATGCCAATTGTTTGACAGGTGGGGGCACTTTAAGTGTCACTTGAGACAATGATTCATGCTAATTTCGCTTGTCTCACAACTCAAGTTAAGACAGTACAAAAACACAACCATGATCTGTGTACATTCAGTTATAAACTGGACACAGCACTATACATATTCACTCCTTTGACTTACATACACAGAAATTAAGAATTGTGGCTATGGCTGAAAATAGCGCACGTGCCAATGGAGGCCACTGGCTAGCATCTGGAGCCATTTCCCATAGACATGTGTGCCACTACTAGCCACAAAATGTGCCCTCAGTCTCAACTAAGACATACTGTAGATTAGATGCAAATAACTTACAAACCAAGCCATTACTGTCAGCACCAACGGATGAATGGAGGATCAACACTTGGGTGGATGTCTATTAAGGCCGCTGGGATGAATCGCTCTCTTAAAGAATTTCTGATTGGCTAACAAGTTGCACCATTTCAATGCAGCTAGCCAATCACGTCCATTGACACAAAAAGGTTGCTGTGCTCAGGCAATTACGGCGAGTTCTGTATTGCAATGGAAAATTCATAAAGAACAGTTTGGTGTCTACAGAATTGACAAGAACCTATGTCTAGCTCTTTCTACAGGTTGAGAGCACAGGGGTAAGAAACTGTATCAGCCCTTACCCTCCTAGACCCTTCAAAATCCACCAGGTTTGGACAATTTTGTGGGATTGGGGAAAGTAGAGCTTAACTGCTATTACTTTACATGGGACGTAATGCCCCTCGTTTGTTGAAGGAAAGAGAACGTGCCATTGGTTTCCTGCACATTGGGGGATTCAGGAATGTTCCCCACAAAAAGACTGGGTTATCCAGGATTACCAAATCCCAACTTTCTTGACATTTTTGCTTGACCCCTGCCAACACCGAACAGTGCAGGGACTAAATGGCAAAATTGAAAACCCAACAAAAGAGGGATATCTTCACATATATGTGACCCACTCTGTGAAAATGAATCTTAAGTCGCCAGAGCCACTTTGGAGGAAAAAGTCCTTCAGAATAATTGTGCACAGTGTAAATCAATAGCAACCCACAGCATCTTTCACCATGGAGTAACCACTTTCATCAGGATACCAAACTGAGCGATACATAAAAACAAAAAATTCAATTTGCTCTTTCCAATACAAATGAAAACTCAAAAAGTGGCTCTGGCGACTCATTTTCACAGAGTGGGTCACATATGTAAGCAGAGTCCAAGGTAGGGCATGTACATCCCAGAACCTATCAAAGCTGACCAAAATCCAGTTTTAACGTTGGGTTACGGTTAAACCCACCACACCAAATAAGGCTTTACAGGGGATATCAGGTTTGTTGGAAAATGATTAGATGAGGAATCAGACGTGGATTTTTGCAACTCACGGATGAAATCTATGAAGGCATTGTGGGGACATCAACAGGAACATTTGTTGTCATTCAGTGACGCGTCCAAATCACCAGGTTTATTAAGCTCTGTGATTAAGAGGGAGTGGGAAAATGAAATCCAACATCTGAGTCTCAAAGTCCGCCAGACTCGTATCACAGCAAAGAAATACAACCTAATACATGTACAGTAGGCCCCGCAGGATTCACCAAAGACAGCCTAA